TTGGTATAATGCCATGTGGAGTGATGCTTCTCATGATATCTAAGAACCAGGTTATTAGCCAGCAGAGAGAATGGCACTTAACCACATATCAGTACACATGTAAGTGGTGTGGTAGACATCTGGTTAAAGTGGTATACAGCTCCACTAAAATTACTGCAGCTGCAAGAATTGTAGGGTACCTGAGGGGAGCCCTTGACCACCATTTCAGTGTATGTTACTAGGTTAGAGAGATTTTATTTTATTTATTTTTTTGAGTTTGGATTATATATATATATATAATCCAATTTTTTCTCTTACTGACTCTTTATCTTTACATTTTGATTTGGCTCTATTTTTGTTACTTTTTTAGTTTGTGTTTTTTTTTTTACTTCATCACATGGTCAGAAGATCAGTTGCCATTCTTTTATATGTCATATCTTTTCACACACTTCTCAACTTCTGTTCATTGTAACAATAACAATGATGTATTGTATAAATACTATTTATTGATATTTAATCAAAATACTTTTTTATACATTTTAATTTTTTGTCTTATGCTTCAAAAGTTCATTTTCTTCATTATACCCTAAAGAGTTTGTATATCTATGTTTGTAGTATTTCTTGTATCAGAAAAGTTTCATTTATTTTGTTAATATTTTGATGTAAAAATCTTTATTTCATAATTTTGGGTTTTAAAAGGGTTTTTATTATTATATGTTAGATGTTTAGTTAGTAGTTTTTTTAACTGTGAGGATACTTTTCACCTCTTAACATCCTGCAACAGTCCAACCACTTCAGTTTGTCAGTCGGCTTGTGTGTTATTCTTCTGTTTAATTTGTCAACAATGTCAGCTTATCTGTCATCATACGAAGTCCTCTGTTTTTTTCACATGTGACAAGTTATTTCCCTAATTCTTCCACATAAAAGTATTTGAATTTCCACTTACTGTTAAAATTAGATGACTGTGTGTTAGGTTTATCCTTGGATTATCATAATGGCAAGTTTGATACCTTGTTATGGTAGTTTATTTTCATAATATATAGTATTGTATTTTTTAAGTTGAGTATTATACAGTATGTTGGTGAGTTTCAAAGTTCTAGTGAATCAAATTATGAATAGACATGGTGTGTATATTATTGTTGAATTATTAAGTTGGATGTATGGAAAGATAAAATGACAATTTTGATATGACAAATTTTCTTTTATTATCTTTTTTTTAATGATTAAAAACAGGATTGTACACATGTATGTATGATATGCACTTTGTAATTATTGCTGACACTATAGAGAATAATGTGTATACTTTTTTTGGCAAGAAAGAGCAAGTAAACATTGTTTAGTATCCAAAAATCCTTCAAAATAAGAGTTAACTTTTGTCATTTTAATCCAATTACTTATAGTTCTTAATTTATAAAATGAGACCACATTATGCTAATTTCTTATGTTATGGAATTATAACATGAAATTTAATTATATAAAGCATAGCAACTTTCATAGATTTTTTTGTTGTTATTTACTTCCTGTCTTGCTGGCATGACACTGGAAATGCCACAGAAGGTATTGAAAGTAAAGAAGACAATCTTATCTTATAGCTTCTTTGAGATGAGTAAAGTTTTAACTTCATGTATATCTAAATAGACATATTAAGAGAGTATTTGCTCTGTAATGCTTATTGGATCAGAAATCAAGCTACATTCTGGTACATCTGTGTTTGCATTGTAATAAAAAACAAAGAAACAATACAGTAAATGTCAACTACATTTGCTTTTAGACTGTGATGATACAGGTATAGCAGGCTTTTGTTTTAGCATTGAAATATATGTCAAATTTTTCAATTTTTTCTTAAACATAAATCTATAAAAATATTCAAATCAAGAAGCTGCACAAAAACAACATTTGTTGTAAGTATTACTTCCCCAAAAATATTTTAGCAAAAACAGAAAATTTTAAGATCTTAAACTTACTTTTTATGTGTATGGTAGTTCCTCATAGATGCTAGCATAAAGAGAAAGAAGTATTGGTTAGATCTTTGTAACTATTTCTAATTTTAAAGAATAAGTCAACCACTTGGGAATATGATAAATTTAAGTCTAAAGTTTTGGTAAGAGAAGAATTTTAATACATGTAATTGTTGTTGAAGTTAACATTCCTTAAGTGGTGATTATAATCTTGAATAATGTTTCACCCAGAAGAAACACTTTCCTGAGTAGATTTGTAGTATATATAAGTTTCTTTCTTTTTATATGAAAAATTCAAATGTTAATACATTGCAACCAATCTCTACATGTGAGCACTATGTAAAATGGTTTTACGTCAATGATAAAAATGTTACAATTTCTTGTATCTTTAATAATAATACAATTGTGTGTGTGTGTGCACTATGTATATGTATAGCATACTCAGATTTATAAACACAAGTACTGTAAACTTAAGTCCCTTTTGAGGGTAAAGTTACTATAGAAGGAGTAGTTGTATTTTCTTGGAACTAAATGTAATTAGTTACATTCAAAGCAAAGGCATAAGGTTAATTAAGTCAGACTGCCTATTTTTTTAAGCAACATGATTTATAAATTGACTTGTTGTGAATTGGATACAGCATTAAGTGTAAAAACAAAGAAAAGATTGTGAGTGACTGAAAAAGAACAGTGTTTGGGGGGGGGGGGGCAGCCAAGAGAATAGTTTAGCAGAGATCAAGTTTCTAAACAACATTTTGAATTAATAGTATTTCCAGCTAGTTGTGCTTGTGAAAGTGGACATGATGTTATTGGCTAGGTTGTATATACTAATGGCTATTAGGGTTTTGCAGATGTATATTTATTGCTGTCAGTAGTATTTGTTTACTGAACGTCTTGTTATGTGAGAACTTTATTTAGATGGTGGGTAAGTATATAAGTAGTACTAGGTTTCTGTTTATTTTTATACCATACATGAGTTATTGACTTAACCATTGCATGTTGTACTTTATTAGTTAAATTTCAGTGTTTTTAAATCAAATTGAATTTGTGCATCAAATGTGTTTAGAAGGTTGATTGCCAAGTTACAATTTATAATCATAAAATCTAATACAAAATTAATTGAAAGAATATATACTGTAGAACATTACAAACACAAAAGTTTTTATTTTTAGTTGTGATTTTAACTCTTGTGGTTTATATGTTGAGTTAATATTTATAAGATGAGAAGAATAATGATTACAAATGTTTCTAAACAGTTAAGGGACTTTCTCTAAAACTAGGTGAATTTATGATTACTATTTTCTCAGAGTGTCAGAATAAACTATAGAAAAATAATAGCAGTGAAGCATTGGAAAGCACATTTAGCTTTAGTGCTCTACATTGTACACATTCATTAAAGTTTTAGACTAAAGAACCTTAATAGATGTAATGCTTTATAGAACAGTGTTTTGTATTTTGCAATGATACTTTAATAAATCAATGACTGACAAGAATATCTCAATAAATTTTCTTTCAAAAATATTGGGATGCAAAGACACCAGTTAATGAGTACTTTAACCAATAATAAGGAATTCCAACATTTGAAAAGCAACAGAAGAATTAGGAATTACATTTTTGAAGCTCTCACTCTCAGAAATTTTGTAAAAACATTTTTAATTGTGCATTATTCTAACACTTGCTTATACATTGTATTATGTATTTCACCTTTTACTGTTTATACTATTTTACTTGACCTATACTAAATTACTCATGCTAGTAAATTATAGAGATGAAGAAGGACAGAAACTGTATTACAAGTTTAACAAAGTAACAAATGTTTCAACAAGGATTTTTTCATTAGGTGCAGGTGATGGTAACCTCATCATGTTAATGATTCACTTTTGTTAATTTTCAAAAGATAAACAGTACTTTCCTTGAAATAAACTTTAGCTAATATTGCTAAAGAAGGCATCAGTTAAAAGAAAATTGCTTTGGTAAATAGAATATCTAAATAGTAAAGACGGATGAAACTATATAAGATATGTGTATTTGAAGAAACTGGTTATTCAGAAGAAATACTTCTTTTGCATTAAAATGGAACATCTACTGTTATATGCTGTAAGTTCTTTTTAAAATACTGCAGTGACAGAGCATGAAACATCAGAAATTGCAAACTTTGGTATTCAGTAGGTGGTAATTTAGGTAGACTAAAATGGCATTTGTATCACAACTTTTCTATCCATTGTTATATTGCATGTAAAGTATCTCATTCTCATTTACACTGTATTAGGTAACTTTTTAGACTTTAGAACTGGAAAGTATAGGTATTTTTTATTTAGTTGATGTTATAAAATGTAAATGAGTAAGTAAGAAATGACACATGTATATGGGTAAATAATCCGTCCCCAAAAATTACTCATGAATGAGTGAATTTTTCTACTCAAACAAAATATAGTGTGAAAGGGTGAATTATCAGATTTTAACAATGTACAATGCTAGAAATCGGGTTTCGATACCCGTGGTGGGCAGAGCACAGATAGCCCTTATGTAGCTTTGTGCATACTTAAAAACAAACAATTTTAACAATGTAAACATTAGATGAGTGAATTACTAGATGCCAACAATTTAAACTGAAGATATTATGAATTATCATACTACAATAATCAAAAGTGGAGATAAATGAGTTGTTAAACTCCAAAAATGTAAAGTGTGAATTGGTATATTGTCAGACACAAACGTAAATTGTATATAATTGTGTTTATAGACTCCTACGTATGCAAGCTTTGGAACTGTTTTCTTCTTTCATAAATTAATATAGCTTGAACTAATAGAGGACCAAGCCAGACATACTACACATGAAATTGAGGTTTTATCTCATAATGAAGGATAAACAAAAAGCTGATGTAGCTAAATGTAATTTGTATGAATTAGTAGTGGTATAAAATAATTTGATGATGACTTGGCAGTAAAATGTTGGATATATTTAGGAGTGGCATTTATTGTTTAATTTAACAGATAATGTTTGCTTAAGCTGAACCCTGAAGACATTGTTTTATTAAAGTAACAAGTCAATTTGTTTTCCTACAGAATTTGATCTGAAGGTGGATGATAGAGTTTGTATTCAAGAAGTTAACTTACTGCCAGATTTTAATCAGCAGAGTGACAAGTACAATAATGATATAAACTGCAATCTCCAAAGCTTGTGACTGAAGATGTACATATGTACATATTGAAAAGTACTCTTGCTCAAACTTTAAATAGGCAAACTAATTGAAAGTCTATCCCACAAAGTGAAATACTTTGTTCTGTAAGTTTGTTACAAACCTTCAGAAAATCATGGAGTCACAAGAAAGTCTCACTGTACATCTCCAGAACAATCTCAAAATGAATGGATCACAGAAAGTTGGGAAAAAAGGTCTGTCTAGAAGATCACGACACTCCTTCAAGGTTGTGAGGAAATCTACAGGAGTAGAGGTAGCAGGAATTGATGTGCCTGATCATGTGCTGGTATGTTATTCTTAAAATTTTTTTTCAAATACAGTAAAGTGAAGTAATGTATGAAAACTCCCATGCTGTTACTTAAACATAGGCAGACTTACTTCTTAAACAAGGATAGTTTTCCTTGTGAACTTGCTTTCTTGCTGTCAACAAACGTGACTAAAGTTCTGAATGTTTTTAACACAATGCAGAGCAAATATCAATTTAATCGTAATTCTGTGCTCTCCCACTTCCCCATGACTGATTGCATTTACATAAGAAGGACATATTTTTATGCTCTGCCTTCTCACAATAACCAGATATTCTTGTTGACAGTTGTGCTTTTAACTTTGGTTTCTCTAAAGCCATGTTTTCTTCTCCTCACCTATTGTCACCGATGTTTGAATGTATGTGCCATTAATGCTTCCGGCACTCTTTCACTGCACTTACTTCCTTCTCTGTTTGGACCAAACTTTCTCTAAAGCCATGTTTTCTTCTCCTTACCTGTTGTCACCATTGTTTGAATGTATATGCCATCTTCCTCCACTCTTTCACTTCACTTACTTCCTTCTCTGTTCAGACCAAGCCTTTTTTTCCTCAGACATTGGCTGCTTGGGAAATGATTGTTCTTTGATATTTAGTCGCATCCAGTTCATCAACTGTCTCACTTTTGTATCTTATTTTCACTAACCTTTGGATGAGATCCTTCAGGCTGGCATGTTGATGAATCTGCACACATTTGTCTCGCATTACCTTCATAATCTGGCTGTTTTATGTCTTGTGGGATTTCAACTCCCTCTGGTCACTGTTCTGCAATGAATCTACAGATCTGGAAAGGGTAAGTACATTTTCTTTTTCAGCACCCTTTTCCATTTATAGGATCTTGTCTGGTGGCTGGTGTTGCCTCCCAGGGTTTGCTTATCTCACAAAATCTGCCTCAGGCCACGGGTAACAGAAAGTGCTCAAGCCATTTGCCTTGGCTTTACCAGTGCTCACATTTGAGAAGGGATGTTTGGCAAGACTAGTAGTGTTATTAAATTTACTTAAATGCCCAATCCAAATCATAAAATTCTCTGGTCTATCATGGAGAAATCCAGCCTACTTCTTTGGCTTATGCTTGCCAGCTTTTAAAAATAGGGTTTTGCACTCACCCATTGCACTGTCTCCAGTAAAAGATCTTTCTGGCAGACATTTGATGGGGATCCAGGTACTTCTTTGGATCTCCCCACCATGATATCTTCCACCTTTTTGAAGTTGAGCATGGGAGGCCATTGCCACTTACCATTTCCTAGCCACTGGGGTGATAGACTTTGAAGAGTTTCTCACAGATTGTGCATGACACCAGTGGAAAGAAGGGTGGGGTTGATAAAGTCTGTGTAGTGTGGGTCACACCTCAACCAGCTAGTGTGCCCTCCTTTTGCAGTGAGAGTCAAAGTGAGACACACACACACACACTGTACATTCTGGTCATACCCTGACCACACTACACTTCTTGGCTTCCCCAACACTTGTGTCCAGGTGCTCAGTTTGTCATGATCAATTTCTGACCATTCTTGTGACACTTGGGGCTCTTATGCCTTTCTCAGTATACCCCTGATTGAGACAAGATGCAGTCTCCTACAGGTGTGCCCCTATGAAGCCCATGCCTTTTGGTATTACACTTCATGGGCTTTTCCTTTGGGTGTTTTCTGAAGGGTGCTCATCTAGGTTTAATGTTTGCACCAGCCCCTCTACCATTTAAATATGGGATTCTAGTTACTCTTTGTGTTGAAGTGAATTTTCTTCTCAGAAATTAACATTTTCCTTATCTAAAAATGTATTTCTGATAGATACTCTCACTTTCAAACCTTCCCTTCCATCCTCCCCACTTTTGGCACACTTTCTTTTTGCCTCTAAAAATGAAGTTATTTCAAGTGCAAGTGCTTAAGGGGAGTTACTGCACAAAGAGTTTCCCTCCTATTGGTGAAGGGCTGTTTTCACATGATGATGTCACCATACAGTAGTGTAATTCATATTAAACATGTGATTTTTATGTGGGAGTTAGCTCAAGGCTGCCCCCCAGTGGCACAGCGGTATGTCTGCAGACTTACAACGCTAGAAACCGGGTTTCGATACCCGTGGTGGGCAGAGCACAGATAGTCCTTGTGTAGCTTTGTGCATAATTAAAAAACAAAAAAAAACCAAATAACTCAAGGCTAGTGGCATGCAAATTTCATAAACAGATGCT